CGATAAAAGCATCACAGTGAACCGACTGTTGACATTCGGGGTCCGGAGTCCCCCTGCGCCACCATAGACAAGGCCGAAACGCATACGTACAAAGGCCCAGACAGACGACCAGCCTTCCTTCTTCCCTCAGTCATTTTTTGGAGAAGTTATTTTATTCCATATATTCGATACCCACTCATTCCCCAAGTTAACACATCCGACACGTTCAAATGACCGGTTCGCCGTGATGCTCTTATCGACATGTCAACCCATGCTGACTAGCAGCCGAGCTCGCATCGCGAGCAGAGTATTTCTAGTAAACTCATAATAGATGAAAAGAAAAGAGAGATACAGCAATTATGATATATGTGTGAATAGAATCAGAGGTAGTGTTCTTGAAAAACGATGAAGACGATAGAGATGTTGGAGGTATTATGTGGACAAGTGGATGTGGGGAGGTTAAAAACATGGGGCCAGAGAGCGGGTGTTGACTGGGCAAATCAGAACTAAGAGCCAGTTATCGCTGCGCAATGCAGAACGAGAAAAGAGAAAAGGACCAATGTTCAAGCGCTGAGGTAGAAGGGAGGAAAGAAAACACATTTTCGGTATTGCTGTCCTGCTTAGAAGCTCCCACTGCTTTAAAATTTAAAGTGCGTTGGACAGCAGTGCCTCTACTTGCTTCTCGGCAACTTCAGAAATCGACGACTTTACGGATTGCTGATCGGCTGATACCAGGGTGGCTGGGCGAGCGGCAACCACCGCTTTCCATGGTCGACGGTGAGTTGACGCTGTGCGGAGGCAGGTATGAACCAGCAAACTTGTAGGCCATGCTCGCCCATCTCGGCAACATCTGTACCGTGAAGCTCGCTCTCTTCGTCAATACGCAGGTGTAGCGAGGGAATCAGGTTCAGAGTCAGCAGGATGATGGAGGTAATCACAAATGACCAAGCAGCACCCGAGGTGCTAGCCGCTAGTTGGATGGCAAGCTGCTTCCAGTGGTGGTCAATCCAGCCACCATCGATTGTAGGATCCATTGAGCTCGGCGACAGCCTTGCTGGCAAAGATACCAGTCAGAAGGTTTCCAACTCATACCGCCAATGCCGTGAACAGCGAACACATCGAGGGCATCGTCAAATCCAAACTTCTCCTTGAAGTCAACCGCATAGTGGCAGCAAACACCAGCAACAAGACCAAAAACGAGCGCAGCCCAAGGAGCAACGAAGCCCGAGGCAGGAGTAATGGCAACCAGACCAGCAATAGCACCAGAGCAGAAAGTGGAAGCTGGAGAACTTTTTGCCGTTGCGGAAATACGCGACCACTGACCAGGAAAGGCGCCCATGCACGCAGCAATATGTGTGACGCTCGAAGCCATGCCAGCACGGCCGTTGGCAGCAACCAGCAGAACCACCGTTGAAGCCAAACCAACCAAACCACAGCAGCGAGGTACCAAGGATGATGTTGAGGTAGTTGTGCGGCTCAAACTTTTCCGAGCCAAAGCCATGGCGCTTGCCGAGAATGATAGAGAAGGCTAGGGCACCAAAGCCGGATGCAATATGCACTGGAGTGCCGCCAGCATAGTCCAGCGAGCCCATGGTGAAGAGCCAGCCGTTGGGGCCCACGACCAGTACGCAATCGGGTCGTATACAATAGTGGTCCATACAAACGTGAAAACGATTGCTGGGAAGATGCGAATGCGCTCGGCGGCTCCACCGAGGGCCAGCGCCGGTGTCAGCGCAGCGAACATGCACTGGAAGATGGCATAGACATTAGCAGGGATGGATGGTGCATTCGGATGCGGCCTGTCAGCAACATCAAGCAACAGTCCGTAAGTCGCGTCACCAATGAACTTGTTGCCGGACTTGTCAGACAGCGCCAGTGAGAAACCGAGCAGTATCCATTGGATGCTGGACCACAGCCATGGCGATCATACACAGGAAGACCAGGACTGACGGCGTTCTTGCTGCGAGCCATGCCACTGTAGAAGTACCCGACACCAGGTACCATGATGAACACGAGCGCCGAAGAGACCAGGATCCAGGCCGTGTCGCCAGTGTTGATTTGCGGCGTGTCCGTGTCGAATCGTTTCAGATGCTCAGCCATGGTTGAAAATATCGAATATCTTGCAGGAGCACAGGACAAGCTTGCAAAGAGATGGTGTTGGAGGTAGTAGAATATAGCCAATATGTGTTCTTAGATGGAAGAAAAAGGAAAGGCTTTTCGTCTCACAATTGGCGCTGGCGTCGGTGCAGTGCTCCAGACTTGTGTGCGAATATAATAGCGGCACGACGTTTGCAATGCCAAAATTTTGAGGGAGCAGAAGGAAACCCCTACGAGGCTTGGTGCGTGGTCGTTTGTGGCGACAGTATTATTTTGTGTCTGTATTCAGTAGGTTGGCTGTCAAGGCAAAACAGGACGCCTGACGCTTAGCAAGACAGCGAATGTAGAATAACGCGGAAAAGAATAGCAGTAGCGAACAGGGAATATAGAAAATTAATGTGAGGCGCGCGTTGAGGTGCTTTCACAATGGTTGGACGCTGGGTCTTGGTGATGTCTGACGTGGAATACAGAAGAACCGGTATTGGCAGGGTGTCAGCGGAATGTGGCATGGGTTTTATATCCGCATGGCCCACAACGACCTTCATCCAGTTCCTGCGCTCCGGAAGAGGGGGAGAGACAGCGGATTAAGAGGGAGGGAAGGTTTATGGAGATTTTCCGGGCCAGAGTCCTATCGGCGAATCAGTGCACATGTGAGGAAAAAGGCTACACAGGCTGAGACTGCTTCAGGAAGTAGGCGAAAATCAGGTCTTGTGCAGCAGCGTTGACTCGACAAAAGCACACAGCCGTGACAGGTGCAGCCAATGGATGTGCGTGCGGCAGCTCCTTGATGAGGCCTGATATTGGCCCAGCCCCACGCATTCCCGATGCGATCGCTATCGATCACTTTGATCCAGTGCTGATCTCCGATTAGCGCCATCGATAAGGGCAAGTGAATAGGGGGAGCACTCATCGGATGAGCCCTTCAAGCCAGCGAACAATGATGACGAGGCACGATCGCCAGAGATGGCAGCCATAGGCTCTCTGGCGACGCGGAAGCTTCTCTCGGCTCGCGATGCGCATACCCAGCAACATGGTCGTTATTAGTGGTATAAGACATTGTTTTTTTGGGAATAGCAGCAGACACAGGCCGGTTCGCTGAATGCCGGAAGGGGGTTTTTTTTTGCTCAGGCCTCCACTCACGAACCACCTCACTCTTGTTTTACCCTGCTAAAACAAACACAGCATCTGTATGCACGCGTGAGCGCCATGACCTTCAATCAGGCTCAAAAAATGGACGCATATCTACCCGGATACATCGGAAGGCAAAATCGCAGTCGACCACCCGCTTATCGATTGCGTCGTCCATAACTCGGAGTCCTACAATGGCTCAGAGGCGTGCTAACATGAAATGCTGTTGAATATACATATGCGGCTCATATCGTCAGGTTTGCAACACTTACCATACCACATCTGGCAGTCCTTTTTCGCTTGACGGGGCTTCGTTCTGGCAGATTTTCACCTGGATCGCCTTAACCCGAGTCCCCTGCTCCTACGACTGCATGGCAAGGTACGTGGCATTATGCCTCTGCTTCTGCTCCTTGCTGACCTGGCCAATGTTTGCAGCACCTTTGTGAGGCGCATGTGGGCGAGATGACGCAGCAGCAGCGGTCTGGGCAGTGCGGGCATCAAAGTTCTCTGCATCGGCAAGTTGGGCCTGCTAGGAAACATTTCTGGCTGCACCTACGTTAATTCCAAATGCCTCACCCCACCTGAAAGCCCCGCGGCCAATAAGCACCTCCAGGCCAGCGTCATCGATGGCAAAGGTCAAGGGCTGCTGCTGATCGCTGTCTTCGTTCTCATACTGCATCTCGGGATACAACTCTGCAGCATCGATGTGTATGCCGATGTAGGTGTCGTAATAAAGGCATTGATTGGGCATGTAACCGTAGTAGTATCCGCTGCTTGCATCATATACGAGCCGAGAAGTAACATGTTGGCTTTGCAAGGCATCCAGGGCATCGAAATCATGTATACTTTCCGACCTGTCCTACTCCAGACGCATATCGCCGGCATATGTGGCATTGGATGGGGCTCCGATAGCGTAAAGAATGGACTGACAGAGGGCTTAACAGACTGTGCAGATGAATAGACATCCATTGCTTCAGATTTCTCCACATCAGGTGATTTGGCGCGACACCCTGTGGCCTTGTCTGTTCCTGGATTCCCCGATGTACATTTCCCGGATGCTACAGAATACGGGACCAACATAGGCGGAGTTCTTGGGTGGTCTGCTGGCTGTCTGCGCCAGTATTGTCAGCCTGCTGCTGCTGCTTCGGTATCGTTCGGGAAGCAGTAGTCCTAGGGGCAGGTAAAATACTGGCTAGATCCGAAAACTTGCCATGCTTCACATTGGGCATGACCGGCTTGCCTATATGTTTTTCTTTCACTGCCGCCGATGCACCAGGAGCGGGGTTGTGTCCAGGTATCAAACCGACATCTATTTTGATTTTGTTGCTGCCACCTTGATGTGACGACACCCTCGGAGGCGGAAAAATCACCGCCAACCTTGTGTCTAAGGCACATGATGGCTGCATGGACTGCCTCGACCCTCCTTTCCTCTCATTTGTGGCAGGAGTTCTACACAGCACATCGGATTCTAACTCCGACGATAACTCTGATGACAATCCGTATCCAGGTGCTACTGAGAAGTCCATTGCATCAGATAGATTATTGTAGTAGTGGGTTTGATGCTGTTTGTACAAATGTGTGTTGACACGGCACACCATCCAAGCGAGTACACCAGTATTATGATCAGCCGTGCGAGAATTGAAGAAGGACTAGCATGGCCGTATTAGTTCCATTGCCCACGACCTTGTCTATATAACATAGCTCCTACCCATTTTGTCTAGGCGGTAAATGTCTGCCCAATGGTAGGTCTGTCACATTTGGAGGAACACTTTTGCTCGACTCGTAAAATAGCTGTTGGAAAAGCATCAGTGCTGAGCTGCTGGGGTAGAGCGATACTCCGGTATTAATTGGATATTTAATGTATATCACTACTAGAACAGGCAGTGTCGAGCGACTGAGGAAGAAAAAGAAGGCTATTGCTGCGGATGAGGAAATAGTCAAGACTAAGGGTTGGGATGAACAAATATTTGCATCTCACTACCCCCACAGCTAGTATTCTAAATTTTACATCTCAACTGTCGGGGACTGCTCCTGAATCTACGAAAATGAACTGTGGCATATCTAGAGCGCCGTCCTTCATTCCACGCCTATTGCGCCAAATTGCCAATTCAATCATATTGGCAATCATCGCTGGGGCTCTGATCGTCTGCAGTACTGGCATGTGTCTGGTCAATTCAGCAAACCGTCGGAACGGTACATCCTCCAGTACACCAAATATACTTGGCACTGAAATGATCTCCAGGGATGGGAAAATTGTAGGTGAATCTAAAGCAAACTCTGGATATTTTGGGTGTTCGCACCAGGCAACAGACAAGTGGATTAGCATCGGCAAACACAACAACAGCTGAGCAAACTGCTCAGTTGCAATTGGGAAATGTATCTCCAGTCGCTGTAGCACAAAAACTTGGTCCTCACTTGGATTGATCGTTCTAAGGCAGGGAAGTGGGATTCGGCGCACCCTCAGATCAAGCATGTGTAAGTTGTAGCACATGGTGAGCAGCGGTCGCAGATCAACGTCACAGCACCGAGGATCTTCAGGGATGTCTCTCGATGTATCCCCGATAACACGCAGCAGGCGAAGAGCTGGTGTGTCACAAAGGTAGAAATCGACAGTGGTATCTCTTTGTGGCAGCTCAATTACGAGGTCAAGCAGCTGTGGGTATCGTATCCGTCGCTGGAAGCTTACGCAGAGGTCTGCATCACTTGCAAGCCGCAAATAAGTTAGACTTGGTAGTTCAAAATGCTCCTGATCGAAATCGTCCGTGTTACCATCGCCATGCAGTAGAACCGAAAGCTCCAAATCAAGTAACTTCAGGTTTGGAAAAGCGGACATAGTAGTGTCGGCAGAGCTTTGTCTGAACAGAAACAGGATGTCGCGCAAACTAAAGTTTTTCATAGTCAGTGAGGTCAGCGACTGCGAAATCGCTTGCGATACAACCCAAGGTCTATTTGCGGTGGATATTGGGATAGACTTGCAGACATACAATGTGCTAAGCGGCTGGTCTATGTCTGCTAGTTCTGGCGGTATTGTAGCAGTTGATACCAACGTGCGCAGCAGAGGCATACGAGGGACTAGGCTGTACAATGGATGCATATCGGATATTGTGTCGGTACCAGTAGCCATATACTCTAACCGCTCGATGCAGCTGAAGTTTTCGATAAGATAGTCACTGAATGTAGTCGTCAAGTCTTGGCTGCGTGAAATCAGCCAGCTACGATTGCGCTCAAGATACTGCCGGATTACCATCGACCGGATCGCAGGGAAGCTTATCGAGCTTATTTGCTGGTCAATCAAGAACCTTTGCAATACGACCGAGTCTACCACACACGTCGATGCATCGATAACCAAGTGTTCGATTTGCCTGCGCTGCTCCGACGGTATGCGGTCTAGAGAATGAGCGCTCCAGGTAGCAGCCCGGTCAACCCCTGCTCCATACCGCTGAAGGTTACAACACATGATCCGATACAGATAGGGCAAGGTTGCCTGGCGAACACGTCGACATGTGCTGAGTAGTGGTATAAGCCGCGCATTATGGACTTTTAGGTGCTGTCGTGGCTCAGAAACCACATGCAGAGTGTAAAACTCACAGATAACTTTGTCCAGAACCAGGTCTGGCAATGAACTCAAACAAACCATTATCAGCGTATAATAGTAAACATTCGGCGAACAAAAGAGGCAAGGCACTTTGTTGGCCCCGGAGCAGCAACCCACTTTACTTATTGACAGGATATGTGCCAACGAAGGTGCTGCGAATAGCCTTCCCAAGCTTGATGTCTGGTGCGCATTTGTGGATTGCTTCATCACTGGGGACCACATGGCCCTTTCCCTGGATGAGCGCGTGCTTTTCGCCTAGAATTAGCTTCATCGACAATTTGGGTGGTCGAGACTCCTCCAACTCTGCGGCTATATTCTCGGTGGAGGCTGCAGCAACGAGTCTAGCAATGTTTTTGCCCGCTAGTCTACCGCCAGATGCCGCAGCTCCAGCAAACTTGATCTGTGCCCGGTTGCAAATGTCACCCACAGCGAAAATGTGGGGGTAATTGGGGTCGTCAAGCTGCAGCGAACTCTTGACACGGATACCATTAGGCGTGAACATCGGTTCAGCTGTCGACGATGGCAGTTTGATAAGAGTCTCCTTGGTCTTGGCACCCAGGCAGTTGAACACCAGATCTGCTTTGACCTTCTCACCGCTGCTAGTCTCAATAACTACATTGCGCTTGACTGAGTTTACTAGCTCAGGGAGGATATCTGAAAACTCAAGTGCCTCACTCGATCCCAGATCATCAACAGGGGTCTCATTGACTACCCGCTGACTGAACAGAGTATTGACACCCAGCTTGCGCAGAATATCAGCTGCTCCCTGCCGGAACTCATGTAGGAATGGCCCAGGCACAGGTAGGTCGCGTGAATGTACTAGCGTAATGGTCTTCTCAGGGAAATCCGTCTTTAGATCCGCTGCCAGCTCTGTACCGACTGCTCCTCCACCGACAACTACGATGGATTCGGCGCTTTTGATTAAAGCATGGTCGTACTCAAGGTCCCTAATGAATTCGTCCTTGGTGGATGCGCTAACACCGATAGGCGCTTGGCGACTGACCCCCATGGCCAAGACCAAATAATCGAATTCGAGCCGTTCCTGAGATCCAGCCAGCTCAACAAAGTGCGGAGTGACTTGAGAGATAATTTCTTTGCGGATGATAAACGATGGGTGCTGCAGCCATGGCATCGAAGAGTACGGTGCCCACAGCCTGCGCCCATAGTCCAGTTGACTCAGTCCACGCGTCATACCTAGGTAATGCACGAATCCGTCACGCCTGTCAACTAGCGTGATCTGGATGTTTGGGTTGGGTGGTGCCTGTTTGGTACCATCGTAGTCGCTGTTTGTAGCCAACAGATGCGTGTATAGCGCTTTGGCGACACCGAGTCCGCCATAATTTCCGCCGGCAATGATAATGCGAATAGGGGTACTGAGAACCGCCATATCTGTCTGGCTAATGTTGAAAAGGCGTGATAGATAGGAATAAGAGAACAAAAGGTGATGAGTGGAACACTTTTGGACAAGAGGTCGAAGAGCTTTAGCATATTTATATGCCGGTCATCAAGCTTGAAAAATGCCAAGACTTGCTCAATGTTTATGTCCCTGGGTTTGTCGCCACACTCATGCACAGTCTTTACAATTCGGTGAGATGCCTGTCCAACCCAATCGGATATTCCGTGCAGGAGCAGTATGCATGTTGTAGGCGGCCTCAGAACCCTTCCAATTGGATGCCTGGCTTATCTGTTCATGCACGCTGTGCATACCGCATTTGATAAGGGCTCCACCCGGTAATTGATGTGGGAACGGTAGAAAGCACTGACTGGCTCTAAAGGAATTGGTGTGGGTCTAAAGCACACGATTGGTGGTGTAGGGTAAAAGAAAAACGAGTAGCGAAAGATACCTTACATGTTGTTGTGCGCCCGATGCGGCTGTCCCTGACATCGACATGTCAGCCGAATCAGGTGACAGAAATCCAGGCGCCAACGAGAGCCCCGCTACAGCCTACGATATGGAGGTAGAGTCTAGCCTCTGATAAGTCGCACAGATGGCAGTATTAAAAACTCCCCTGCGCAACTCGTCTATTCCCTTTTCTCTCTTTTCTTCAGTATTAAATATACCTTTAAAACCCCTACACAGTCGACCGACACAACAATGTGAATATGTGTGTAACTTTCGTGTAGCGCAGATTCTGAATAAGCTGTCAAGTGATGGTAACTTAATCCAGAAATATGCGAGCGTTGTGAGCGTATCAGCAATAGAAAGCGACAGAGTCAAGGAATATATATTGATGAAGAAGGCTAAAGAGAAGTAGGAAGGGAGAGGCGAGCGAAAAGGCTTTATACCATCGCTCAGGTGGCACAGCCAAAAAGAAGATAGGAAAAGAACAACAGGATGAAAAGCTATGTAGTTCACAGTAACCAGATCTTGAGATTCCAACAATGTCCATGATCGCCATTCCACCAACAACCATCTGGCACATTCAAATGACCGGTTTGCCATGATGCTCCTATTGATGTGTCAACCCATGCTGACTAGCAGCCAAGCCCGCATCATGAGCAGAGTATTTCTAGTAGTCTAAAGAAATCAAAGCTGATTTAGATAGTATAAACATATTATTACTAGTAGTTAAAACTAGGAGTAGCAAGTCTAGCTGGCAGATTAAAACTGACGGCAGCAATCTAGTGGTGACATTCAGTGCCGAGACAGCGCGGATTCTGCGTGTCAGCGTCAATGGATTCATGGACTCGCTAATCCTGGTGACCCGCACCATAGAAGCTTTTTTGTAAGCCAGTTCCTGTAAAAAAAAAAGAATATATTGTCTTCAGAAGCCAGCTGATGGAAATACAGCCATGAAGGGGTTTGCTGGGAGTAGAGCGCATATACATTTAAGAGCATGCCAGGCCTGACACTCACAACATGAAGTCAAAGCAGCAATAAAGTAATGCACAGCAGCTTTGCTAGGAATGATCCAGTCACTGGGGACGATATCGCAAGTTCAGATGGTTAGCTTGGGCAAGTACAGTTTGCATCCTACTGGGCCCAAAGCAAACAGGCGACAGAGGGGTGATCGGTATGCATGCTTATCAACATATTGCGCTATTAGTAATTATCATGACTATAGCCTGAAATGAGCCAATTTCAGAACTTGTTATTTCATTGGTTCGATGGGGCCTTGGCGCAATGGTAGCGCGTTCGCCTCCAGAGCGAAAGGTTGTTGGTTCGACTCCTGCAGGCCCCATTGTTTTTTGTTGGCCCGGGTCGCCCCCTTCTTGTCTTTTTAGGACCAACGTGGCCACCACATTTGCACATTGGGTACCGACTGGTTTTTTTTCTCTTTTCTAAACCCCATTTGCGAAGATCAATGCATGTCGGGAACATCAGCTAAAAATACATGTTCCTGACAGCCTGCTTACAAAAGACAGCCTGTGGTCCTGCAGGCCCATGATCTAAAAATAAGACAGACAGCGTAGTCGTAGAATTGTGTAGCTTGGTTAGTAGCAGTAGCGTGTTGATGCAACGTTTTGACAAACAAACCTGTCTGGTGTGCCGCCATGCATGGTCTGAAAATAGCTTTCTCTCACGTATCATCAGAAGCTGCATGATGCCGAGTTGCACTCTTTCTTTTGTGCCAAAGACACATCGGGCTGCTTGCCCAGGTTTCTTGCAGAAACAGGGCAACGCAGTTGCATATCTTAAAGCAAACAAACCTGCTGGAGCCTAGCGCAATACCGACGCGCTGCTAAAAATAGATAGATTCGGTGCGTGCTGGTGGAGATGGGTATATAATCCACTGTAGATACCTCCATCGAAAAGGCTCCAGACCACAACAAAAAACATACACCTACACCCGAAAATGAAGCTCCCCACCATTGCCACGCTCAGCGTTTCCGCTCTCCTCTCATCGTCTCAGCTAGTCTCCGGCTATGCCATCAACGGAGACAGCGTCAACTGCCGCTCCGGTCCTGGCACCAGCAACAGCGTTGTCCGCACATACAGCCGTGGTGACGACGTCACTCTCTCCTGCCAAACCGAAGGCGAGACAATCAGGGGCGACTCCCTGTGGGGCAAGACCCAGGACGGCTGCTATGTTGCCGACTATTATGTCCAGACCGGAACCAGTAACTATGTTGTTGGCAAGTGCGATGCGTCCAGTGGTGACCCTGGAACCCCTGGTCCCTCTGGCAACACCAACCCTGGGTCGGCAGGTCCAATGGGTGATGACTACCCGTACAACGGCAACTGTGATATTGTCGACAAGTGGCGGTACTACTCATGCCAGTGTGTCAGTTTTGTTGCCTGGCGCATTAACTCGCGTCTGGGCATCGATTTCCACAACCGCTACAAGGGCAATGCATGGGGCAATGCCAACCAGTGGGATGACGCAGCACGCGCCTCGGGTGTCACAGTTAATGACACGCCAGCTCCAGGAGCAGTGGGCCAGACTGACCGCGGCAGCACATACGGCCACGTCGTGTGGGTCTCCAGCGTCTCGGGAGATATGGTCACCATTGAAGAATACAACTACAAGCGCCACAAGTACGGCACACGCACTGTCCACAAGAGTGCATTCAACTATATCCATCTCAAAAACTAAAGCAGCTGTTCCATAGCACACCAGTAATACATCTTCAGCAAACATTTGCTTCTAGCGTATATATCTCCAATGGCCAGCGCATGTCGTATGGTAGCTACTTTACAGCCATTCCTAGACCTCTATGTTCAGCAAGACGATGATTAGACCGATATTTTTTTCATTTCATCTATTGTTTTACACATGAGATGGCACACAATAAAAAGCATGTGTTGAATTAGTTAAGCCGAGAGGCGGGCAACGACCTTGGCAAACTCCTCGCCCTGTGTCACAGCCACAGACAGTTCCTTCTCGTTAGGTTGACGGGAGCCATCGCCACCAGCAACAGTTCCAGTGCCCCAGGGCGACCCGCCAACAACCTCCGAGTTGTCAAACAGATTCTGGTTACGGAATCCAGTAGGCACGTAGATCATGCCATGGTGTGCCAGATTGGGCAGGAAGGAGAATGCGGTTGTCTCCTGCCCACCATGCTGTGAGCCTGTAGAGAAGAAAATGCCAGCAGGCTTGCCGTACAGGGCCCCCTTGGCCCACAGGCTGCCAGTGGCATCAAACAGTGCCTTAACCTGAGCGGGTGCTGCACCAAAGCGGGTTGGGAAGCCAAACAGGAAACCGTCAGCTTCAGTCAGCTTGTCAACAGTGATGACAGGGATATTTGGCTTGGGCGCTGCATGCATTTTGCCAAGGACTTCATCTGGGAGTGTCTCTGGGAACTGGTAATGCTCGATATCAACCAGACCAGTCTTCTCGAGTCCCTCTTTGGAGATCAGTCAGAATTGGTTAGCTATTTCATAATTATTAATATTTTTATTGTTTTCTTGTTCTGATGCCAAATATGGTGCTTCTACGAAACCCCCTTCGGCATCCTGAAAAATTTCAGTTGATACACAATTAATATGCTTCTACTGAGATAGAGGCTGTGTCCCAAGAAATCAACTGAAATTTTTCAGGATGCCGAAGGGGGTTTCGTAGAAGCACCATATTTGGCATCTTTGTTTATTTGTTAATCTAGTTGCTAGAATCTTTTTGGCCACTACTAAACATTCTGTATTTTAAAATATTTATCTACTGCTAGTAATTGATTTCTTATTTGTTAATTGGTTATTCTGATAATAGTTATTTAGTTTCTTTAACTATTTATATTTGTGAATGGCCTCCTTGGGAGTACATCTTAACTCCCTTTTGGGACTTCAGTTGAAGAATAGAGATAATATGCCTGATATATCTGATGCAAGATATACTAGTAATGGCATTGAACAACAAGGATTTGTTCAGCAATCTGATATCTTTATGGATTCATGTGTTGTTGAGATACCTGAATCATATGCTCTTATAGATCAGATTAACAATATTACTCCATTTGTTAGATTGCATAGAGTTTTTGGTGATGGATACAGATTTAAGTATATGAAGTGCATGACAAGTGCAAGAAATGGTAAAGTCTCTGTTTACAAAGTATCTGCTCCAAATGTTGCAATAGCTGATCCTGCACTAACTGATATCTTTCTTAGGATGCATCAGGAACATGTATTTCTTCTGAACTATGATATTACAATGGATTGTTTAAACATATCTTCTAGGGCTGTGATTAAGGAATTTCTTCTTGATAATGAAATCAGTAGCAATGATATTCTTGATGATGAAGATAAAGTTGGAGCAAACTGTATTAGCTGGTTTACTGATGAAGATGAAATAAAAATTAGGAACAAGTTGTATAATAAATTTGTTCAACTTCTAGAAAGTGGTGAGGTTCGTAATCAACTTACTTCTAAGCTATCAGAGCTAGTGATGCCAACTTCTCAGCAATTTGGTGAAACACTTGTTGCTTGCAGGAATGAAGGATTAATGAGACTTGAGCTTACTGTTCACTCTCCTGAGTTGAAAGAAGTAGAATGGAACATAAACTTAATTGCTAGTACACTGGAGTTTCTTAGTGATTGTAGGACATTTGCAACATCTTATGAAAAGCAATGGATGGCACTAGTTGATCAGATTTATAACAAAAATATGTTATGCATTTACTTCCATAAAGAACATGCTCTTGGTTACTGCCATTGGTTCAATAGGACAACTATGAAGAAACAAGGAATAGCTAAAAAGTTGAAAGAGAATGAGGATGTGATGACTGTTGTTTCCAATCTTACATTTAATGGGCACCCAACTGTTCTTCTAACATATGCTACCAGCAGTGGTCCTGTTGAATCAGAAGTTGTTCTAAGAAGAGATAACACAAACATCACCATTGTTCCAAGTCAGAGGAATTCTTTCTGGCCTGTTGCTTCAAGAGAAAGACAACAACACACATTTGCTGAAATGGGACTTGTAAACTATCGTGGGATGCATATTGATTGGCTAACTGCTCAACAAGCAAGAGAGAAAGTTTGTCTCTCAACTCTCTCAAGTATTAGTGAGGATGCTGATGACCTAGGAATAGATGATCTTATTGCTGATATCAGCAACATTGAACTTGATGATCTAGAACCCATATACATAAGAGAAAATACTGATCTTAGGCCAGCTAGATACAAAGTTGCTTATAACATACTTCATGCTGGAGATGAGTTCCTAGTTAGTCATTATTTCTTATATACTTTTAGAGGGTTGCCATTCTACTATCTAGATATCTATATGATTCACAATGAAGTAGTTAGCAGTACTCACACTCATATCAAAATACAAGCAAGTAGTCCATTTGGTGAATATATTGCTTCTATTATTGGTGAACCAAATCAAGAAGTAGTACTTAAAGTAGCTAGAATTCATAATCGTATTATCCATATTGCGAGGATCTAGTTTTAAAATGGGCAGTTAGCAACCATTACTTCCATATCTGCACAACTGTAGTTGCATACATCAAACACATGCTTAATAGTAACACCCTTATCTTCTGAAACACTCTCAATCCATGCTCTGATATATACTGACAATTTCCTGCTCATACTGAAATTCTTAGTTAGTAGTTGTGCAAGCTTTTCTCTCTCTTGCTCATCAAGGTCAGCAAGTTTTGTAGTGAAGAAAGTGTAGAATGGGCCCATTGTAATAAATGACAACTTTTAAATTTATGAGTGCCTCACAATGATGAATCATCAATTACAAGAACTCAGAGAAAGGGAGTTTCATAAGCTGTACACAAACAAATGGAAGTTTCTGAATGATGACTGGGTAATTTTAAAGCCCACAAAATATCACAGAAGTGAAGTTCATGAAGTAAGAGAAATTAAGCATATAAAAGATACACTTCTTAAACATCTAGGGATGATTCCTGTTTTCTTCTTTCTGAATGTTTTGTTTGGTTGCACTCATTATCCATGTCCTTACAGAAGTGTAGAGAAAGGATTGCTCATCTTGTACCAACTTGTTGAAGGATTGTCAATCAATGAAATGGAAAGATTCATTCCAAGAAGCAGCTATCAAGCTATTCACAATATGTTCTATATTTCTGAAATGAAAGATTTGAACAAGAAACTAACATACTATCTGCAAACAATGTTTTCAACTCCAGAACTACGAGTCTTTGCAGCAAAGATACAGAATCCACAAGGGTTTAAACATGTAACACTAATGTTAGATGGCCATGACTCAAGAGCACTACACAATGGAGCATACAAACCAGATCTCTATTCATTCAAATTGAAAAAATCAGGATATCGCACACAAGTATGCATTGATGTGAATGGAATGGTTCTACTTGTTTCACCAACTGAAGACTGTAGAGATCACCCAGACTCAAGAATGATTAAGAACATGGGGCTACTGAAGAACATATCACCTATTGATTGCATTGTGCTTGATGGTGGCTATCCACAAAGTATTTTGGAAGAGATGACTGAGGAAGAAGAGCAGGATACTTTTGGACTGCACAACTTTTGTTTACCAGTAAGAAAGCAGAGAGGAACAAGTTTATCAGAAACAGAAGCTGAATATAATTCCCATCTTGGATCATTCCGTTCAATGGTAGAAAATACATTTGGAGAACTAGGCAATACATTCAAAAGGCTGTCAAACAGGGAGATTGTTAGAGTAAAGAATAGGAATGTTTACAATGTGCAAATGAAGTTATGCTGCTTACTCTATAATATGAAGAAGTTACTAGCAAACAGTGATGTACATATTGATCATCATCACTCACTCTGGGTTATGAGTAACTTTGATTACCCTGATACACATGATAAGTCAACACAAGTGGAACCAATACATACTTTGCCCCAAAAAGCAGAGTTAGAAGCATCTATTGTTGAAATTCAAAATCGATTCCTTCAATCTAAAATTGATGATACATATGATTGCTTGGTGCATATTGATTAATTACAGATGGAGTACTAATGACTTGATGACTTGAATATGATGTTTTAAAATGGCACAGTTTGAATCTTTCTAAAAATGATTGTATATATGATTGCTTGGTGCATATCTACTTATTACAGATGGGGTTCTAACAACTTGATGAATTTATTACGATTTTTTAAAATGGCATAGTTTGATTCTTTTTAAAATTGATAATATATATGATTACTTGGTATTAGAAAAATAGTTATAAATAGGATGATAATGACTTGATGACTTGAACATGATGTTTTAAAATGGAACCTTTTGATTAAGTCTAGTTCTATAAGGAGATCAGTCAGAATTGGTTAGCTATTTCATAATTATTAATATTTTTATTGTTTTCTTGTTCTGATGCCAAATATGGTGCTTCTACGAAACCCCCTTCGGCATCCTGAAAAATTTCAGTTGATACACAATTAATATGCTTCTACTGAGATAGAGGCTGTGTCCCAAGAAATCAACTGAAATTTTTCAGGATGCCGAAGGGGGTTTCGTAGAAGCACCATATTTGGCATCTTTGTTTATTTGTTAATCTAGTTGCTAGAATCTTTTTGGCCACTACTAAACATTCTGTATTTTAAAATATTTATCTACTGCTAGTAATTGATTTCTTATTTGTTAATTGGTTATTCTGATAATAGTTATTTAGTTTCTTTAACTATTTATATTTGTGAATGGCCTCCTTTAATTGACTGCGAAACAGTATGGATATGGCCGTAGGTCGAGTAGGAGATGATGAAAACCTTGGGGAGAGCCATTTTTGTTGTGGTAAGTGATTGTGTATAAAAAAGCTGCAGAAAAGAAGGGGAGAGCAGGTTGATATAGTGATACTGCACGAGTTGTTTATAGGGGTAAGTTGATGTCGAAAGCCAGACAGCGGGAACAGATGCTGGGCTTATATACTAGGTGCAGCTACAAATTGAATACTAATAGTAGATGCTGTCTGACTAACAGCTAGTAACTTGTTATAATCGCAGAAGGCAATTTGTCATGATTGGCCAGCTGATAATTTGCCATTAGCAAGCAGTGCTGTGGTATTAAAAATCAGGCAGCAGGTGGGTTTAGTCATTGTGCTCCCGGCACTGTTCCCTAAAGCAGTAGTGTTTCCTGTGAGGAGCGGGTCAGCTTCTAAAATAATTCATATGGCACCAAGCATGCCTTGGTCAGCTAATTGAGTATTGGAGGTATTGGTAAGGTGCTTTCCTAGCTCGCTGGCTCAGTAGAGTGGGCTCTTAAAAGGTTGACCTAGTGATTCTTGGTAGAGCTCATATGGATGCTGCTGCATAATGGTACCAGTAGTTGAGAGTGAATGGGGTATCAGAAAATTAGATTACTTCTCATCTTTTTCTTTTTCTCATTCTTTCTTTTTTATTCTCGAATTGGTCCAGTCACTGGTCTGGTCACTCTCCTTTTTTTCACTAACTCCCTAATATCTCGTTAAGACTAGCTTGGTTTGTCTTTTCTCAATATATTATCCTTTACTTGGGTGCTACAGCCCAACCTAGCTCAATATCTCATAACCTCAGACATGGAGTAGGTAAGTAGGGTAGGCCTACTAGTTCCAGACCAAGGCACCTATAGATATCTTCAAGAACACCTTGGGTAGGTAATCAAACCTATAGGTATGTAGTGCTTTTTGCTGACAAATAGGCATATATGTTTCTCTTCAACTAGTGTAAAGGGGTAAAAAGTTGATAATTTTTCAACTATGGCACTATATAAAGTGGCTATAAAATGGCCACTTCAAAAGGGTATCATAGAAACAATGGACTAGAAAGAAAGAAGAAAGAAGAAAGAAGATCTTAGTGGACAGGAGATTAATTGTTATGATACCTATAGAGAATTGTAGAAGCAGGTAATAGTAATTGACAATATCTTCTGATCTGGAATAAGGAATATATTGATCACATAATGTTGATAGGGAAACTGGTTTTCAACACCACAACCAGCATAGAGTAAACAAAATGGCAGTCAAGAAGAGTAAGGAAGCCAGCTTAGCAAATTCCTAAAGTACTATATTACTAGTGTTTGGTATGAAAACAATTGGTCTAGAAAGGAAGCTTAGTTAAGTCTGTTATCCAATATTAGCCCAGAATACTCAGTACTTCTTAAAGCCCATCAGAAACTCTTAGAGGGATCTGAAAACATGGGAAGTAGACTATGGATAAAAAAACATATCTACAAGTATATGATTAAGCAGTATAAACAGTAGTATAACAGAGCAGCAGTGATTATGCATAGCACACTATTGATCAGTAGGAGGTCAGCTGCAATGATACAGTGTGTGGGATACATTCTTATGGCATTCTCACCAACTCTGGTCTATAGTAGATTGTCTACATAGATGTTCTACTAGGAAGCACTAAACATTGTATAAAACAAAGATTGGTTGATATGCCAAAAACTCACTTTTCTATACTGAAACATGAATCAGGATTTCAATCAACATGTATAGATTTTCAATCAACATGTATAGATCTGGCCTATTATTGCTATTGTCGCTGATGGAATCAGATGCGCCGAGCTGGCATTTGTACAGATACCACATAGAGGGTATTTAGATGATCGCCAAAGTTAAATATTAGTAAGGAATAATTTGCAGCCAATAAGAAATATGCGACGCTTTGGCCGAGTGGTTAAGGCGATGCCCTGCTAAGGCATTGTAGTTTCTACGCGCAGGTTCGAATCCTGCAGGCGTCGATTTTTGCACCAGTTGCTTTTTTGTTTTGTAAGACGGTTTCTGTGGCGAAGTTCACCTTTAGGCCAAATGCTGGGTGGTTGATGTGGCATTCTGTAGAGTTGTGGTGTGTTTTTATTTAATGGTGGAGAGGAGGCGCCCAGGCCCTTTCTTTCGCTATCCAACCCTTATCGCTTGTATTTTTGAAAAATTGGCACCACCGCAGGAAGAGACACAGGCAGGGGCATGGGGCACCCCGGGAAGGTGTCTGTATTTGCGCAGCGGCCAAGAGCACAAGCAAAAAAGAAACCGCACCAACTCGGCATAAAAGGGAGGGGCAAAAATGACTGCCTTCTGCCAGAATCGAACTGGCGACCTTCTGCTTACTAGGCAGACGCTCTGCCAACTGAGCCAAGAAGGCATTCCAACTTCTGATTTTCAGAAAATCGGCACGTATCCAATAGAATCATTCGCCAAGCTAGATTGATCGGCATTCATACTAGTAATTCCTCGCGGCCTATGCTTATACAGCTCTATTTGAGTATGACTGCCAGTGGGCTATGTGTAATTCAGAACACATGGGGTGGTTGGTGTTCTAGTTCTGGCGAATCTATTTTTTTTGGCCAACCTATCTACAGTATCTCCCAAATCACTAGGACACTCTTTGCTATTACACTTATTCAATATTAATTACTAGTGTTGTGCTAATAAGGGGGTGTGGATAAGTTTGGATTTCAAAACTAAAGAAAAAGGGAAAGAGAAAGGAAAACTAGTAATGCCACACATTAGC